ATCTTCAGCTTCCACATATCATTTTCTTTTATTAATGAGTAGATATGGGAATTTATTGGAACGGGAGCAGCCAGAATCTGGAAGAGCTGTGCATGGCAATCAATCGGCTATTATCTTTAACTTGTTCAGTAAAGCTTTGAAAATGAAAAATAGAAGCTGATTGATTGCCATGCACAGCTCCTCCAGATTCTGGCTGCTCCTGTTTTCATAAATTCCCCCCGTGTTATTATCATATCATCCCTGCCATGTATCTCCATTCTGTATGATGAAAATGTTAAGATTAATATAAAAAAATTATCTGGAGCAGAATACCTATATAATTTTTTTTCTATGGACCGTATGGAAATATTCCTGATATTTCTTTGGCTGTAACTGAAACCTACAATATCATATTCTCATCTATATCATTAAGACAAACAGTAAACTTGTTAAAGTGTAACTTCACTCCCTCTTTGCATTTATCTTTTTCTTGTTTTCTTAACGGTACCGCTGATTGTCCTAAACAAAAAATACATGGTCAGCGAATCCAACATTGTCTGCTGCAACATTCCCCTCCACTGCAGCACTGTAGGTCCCACTGTGGCAGCGCCCAAATATTGCAGAGTTCCCCTTTAAATTTTAACATTTTTAACAGCATTTGTTTGCAAGGTTATCAGCTCACTTCCCCCCTCCCTTATTTCCTGTGTAACATTGTGTTCCAGTCTGCACCTGGTACTCTTATTTTTAGCTGAAGAGAGTTTATCTATCGGCGAAACCACAAGGTCATATTCTGCACTGTTTAGAAAGTCTTCTAAATGTACACAAAGTGAAAGAGGAAATGTATGCATTGTGACGCAATTGCTGAGATGTATACCCTGTGAGATGCTTTTTCAAGACACTTAGCTTGCAGACATTAATCCTTGCTAAGACCCTGCTGGTTAATAAAGCTTGTTTTCATCCCTTGATGTCAAAGAGCTGCACATGCACAGATAACCAAGATTTTCTGGTGTTCATACAGTGGGCTCCAGATTGCCCCAAAGCCTCCTAGGATGGATGGCGTGTATATTGCTGGAGGCTTCAGGGTGGGAAGATATGCCATTCTTGCCTAAGTGAGAAAAAAGGGAAGAGACAGACCGAGTCCCTCCAAAAAAGGTATTGAGGGGATTTTCTGGGGAGAAATAAGAAGAACACGTAAAGTGTACCTGGCTGTCTTTTGAAGAGTATCCTAAAGCAAGAGATTCCAAAACAGACTTGCAGCACTGTCCCAAGGAGAACTGAATGGGTATGGCACCTAGCAGCCCTCTTTCCTGTAGGCCCCAGGGGTGTAGAGGTACTCACGCTGTCCTTGTGTCCTGCAGCTTTGGATGAACTGCTTTCAGGCTTTTGCTGGGCTGGTTCCCTTCCAGGCTAACAGGTTGTCCTTCCTTGGTGGACTGTAAGGCTCCCTCTGTCAGCTTCCTTCTGATCTCCAGCCTGGGGGCAGATCCCCCCTCATCTGGGGTCCTCTCCCAAACTAACAGCAACACTTCTCAGTACTCCATCTTTTACCCGACTCCCCTGCTGGCCAGGCTCTCTCATATTTATGGGCCAGTCTGCCACACTGCCAGACCTCCTGCTTGGGATTGGTCAGACTCCCATAAATACGCAGATCAGTTCCTGCTGGCCTCCACCCACTGGCTTCTAGAAACTTCTCCAAGCTTCTGGAGCAGGGGAGGTACCAGAGGGCTGACCTGTAGAACCCTCCTGCATGACCTGAAGTAAACCCTCTTTTTTTTTTAAATTTTGATATGGGTTTTTCCTTAACCGCTTGCCGACCGCCCTATAACAGAAATACTGCTACAGGGCTGCGGCGGTACGCAAAATCACATATATATATGTGGTTTTGGATTTCCAGGTAGGGGGCTCGTGCAAGCTGTATGCGCACCCTACCCGCACCACCATTCGGGTCCACGGCTTTCAATCACCAGGCCCCGGCTGTAATTACTCACTGGCGCCCAGTAATTTACAAGGATCTCTGACAGAGAGGAGAACTGTTTTGTTTACTAACAGTTCTCCTCTGTCAGCTCGGGCACACTGTTGTGAATGGCTGTGCACAGCACAGCCATCCAGAGCACTGTGATTACAGTGAATCAGACACACACTGCCCCCTAGTAAAATGCTCACAGCACACAGTTAAAACCCTTTGATTGCCCCTCGTGTTAACAAGTCCTGTCAGTCCCTTTTCTATGATATCAAGGAGGTGTGGACAGAGATCAACTGACCAATAATCCGGTTTAAGGGATGGGTGCTGGGAGACCACTATGTTTACGACCATTTCCCAAATACAGTTTCATAGTAATATTAATAACTTCCAGTATGTGCAAGTGGTATTCTAGCAACTGGCAAATTAATATTCAGAATTATATTTGAAACCCAAGGATACCAAACACAGCATACCTTTGTCACCTAGGTGGGAGGCAACTGCTTTCTCCTCTTTTGTAGCTAACATAGCCATGTATGACCTTGATTTGTTTGGTATGATATTCCCTATTCAAATATATACCTAATAATAATGTGCCCTGTTCCTGTTGAATTCTATGAATTGTATGTGGAATTGTTACATGTGGAATAGACATTTTATGGCACGTTCTGCATTCCTAGAGCCTTAATGGCCTTATAGGTCATGTGTGATGGCTTGACTGAGTTATTATTGTTTTACGATAGGGCAGAGGATAGTGTTTTTCATGGTTCGTGGAAACAGACATCCTGCCAAAACGAATTAGCTGTTACAAATCTGGCCAGGTCTGGACGCTGAACCTATTTGAGTTTTAGTTAAGATATGAGGCTCTTTTGAAGTTTGTTAAAAGTTACAGCTACAAATTCCATAGTTTGCAAAGGGGGGGGAGTAGGAACACTGCTGATGAGACCTTCACAAGATGGCTGTCGCGTACAGGTTCCATGTCCCTATTGTGCACAATTGTTACAGTTCGCACTGTAGCTCAATGGCCTAGGGGGAAAGATTAGACAGCCCCATGTGCAAAAGGTCTTAAAACCTGTGTAAACCCAAGAACAAAAATTAATTGTATTTCAACATATTGGTCTTTAGATGTGGTGGCTGCATTTATTTTGTTTTTTTTTTTTACAGTTAGCAAGATCCATTGTAACTAAATGTTCAGGTTTATCAATGCATTGGTATAGTTAATATTTCCTGCAAGAACTTCCCTTTTTCTGACACAAGATGGAGCTTTGTGGATTCTGATTCATCTTCAGTCAAGAGCATTCGATTTTTGGAGTTGTGGTCCCAGCCAGAAGGAACTCCATTACTATCCAGACCCATTAAACTACAAAAGCCAGCATGCCTTAAAGTGTTACTAAAACCACAACAGTAAAATCAGTCAATATATGCAGGAAAGCATGCTTGTTCTGCTCACTGTGGAACCCAAGGAGTTAATCCTCTGCATTGTGTAAAAAAGCTGTTTGAGCCTGTCTTCTCTGATCCTCCACTTCTTCTACTGTCCTTAATCCTTCTGCTAATAGAACAGAGCCTTGAGGGCAAGGTGCACATGCTCAGTTTGGTGTGTATTGCTAGAGAGGTTTTTTTCTTTGGGAGGGTGCATGTGATCAGCACAGGGCCAATCAGCACTGGTTAGACAGAGGGTGCTGCAGCCTCATAGGACAATCAGGGGAGAATGAAAACTCCACCTACAAGCTTTAACCAGTACTCTGCTGGACACTAACAGAAGTCACATGACTGCTACTGATGCGAAAAGGTATTTAGTCTATATTTACTAAAATAATTGCATTTCCATGTTCTGCGTACTGTGGGAGACCAGATATAGTGAATGCAGGGTCCGTGGAGACCGGATATAGTGAATGCAGGGTCCGGGGAGATCAGATATATAGTGAATGCAGGGTCTGGGGAGACCAGATATAGTGAATGCAGAGTCCAGGGAGACCAGATATAGTGAATGCAGGGTCCGGGGAGACCAGATATAGTGAATGCAGAGTCCAGGGAGACCAGATATAGTGAATGCAGGGTCCGGGGAGACCAGATATAGTGAATGCAGGGTCCGGGGAGACCAGTTATAGTGAATGCAAGGTCCGGGGAGACCAGATATAGTGAATGCAGGGTCCGGGGAGACCAGTTATAGTGAATGCGGGGTCCGGGGAGACCAGATATAGTGAATGCAGGGTCCGGGGAGACCAGATATAGTGAATGCAGGGTCCGGGGAGACCAGATATAGTGAATACAGAGTCCAGGGAGACCAGATATAGTGAATGCAGGGTCCGGGGAGGCCAGATATAGTGAATGCAGGGTCCGGGGAGACCAGATATAGTGAATGCAGGGTCCGGGGAGACCAGATATAGTGAATGCGGGGTCCGGGGAGACCAGTTATAGTGAATGCAAGGTCCGGGGAGACCAGATATAGTGAATGCAGGGTCCGGGGAGACCAGTTATAGTGAATGCGGGGTCCGGGGAGACCAGATATAGTGAATGCAGAGTCCGGGGAGACCAGATATAGTGAATGCAGGGTCCGGGGAGACCAGATATAGTGAATGCAGGGTCCGGGGAGACCAGATATAGTGAATGCAGAGTCCAGGGAGACCAGATATAGTGAATGCGGGGTCCGGGGAGACCAGATATAGTGAATGCAGGGTCCTGGGAGACCAGTTATAGTGAATGCGGGGTCCGGGGGAGACCAGATATAGTGAATGCAGAGTCCGGGGAGACCAGATATAGTGAATGCAGGGTCCGGGGAGACCAGATATAGTGAATGCAGGGTCCGGGGAGACCAGATATAGTGAATGCAGGGTCCGGAGAGACCAGATATAGTGAATGCAGGGTCCGGGGAGACCAGATATAGTGAATGCAGGGTGCGGGGAGACCAGATATAGTGAATGCAGGGTCCGGGGAGACCAGATATAGTGAATGCAGGGTCCGGGGAGACCAGATATAATGAATGCAGGGTCCGGGGAGACCAGATATAGTGAATGCAGGGTCCGGGGAGACCAGATATAGTGAATGCAGTGTCCTGGGAGACCAGATATAGTGAATGCAGGGTCCGGGGAGACCAGATATAGTGAATGCGAGGTCCTGGAAAACCAGATATAGTGAATGCGGGGTTCGGGGAGACCAGATATAGTGAATGTAGGGTCCGGGGAGACCAGATATAGTGAATGCAGGGTCCGGGAGACCAGAGATAGTGAATGCGGGGTCCTGGGTATAGTAACAATATAAGTCTGGAGTGGCCATATAAATTAGAAGCCCGGGAACCTTGTCCTCTGGGAGAGAGCCACTGGTGTGTGAGAAGGGAAGGTCCTATCTGAGAGAGAGAGAGACAGGGATGAAGGTACAGGGAAAGACTGCATCACATGTCTGTGTCTGTCAGTTCTGGAGAACTGAGGAAGCTGTTGCAATCTACCAAGTCCAGTCTGTGTCTATGCGCTATGCACTTGAGCTGGGGAAGATCCTAAGGCCTAGTACCAGAGCCATCCAACATCCAGACCTGCTGATTCCTCCTGTGACACTGTCAAGCCTAGCTAAAGGTGCCACTGCATCGCAGAACTGCCGCTGTCTGATCGCTGCAGAAGCTCATCTGGAATCGCTTCCACCTTAGAGGAGGCCCCCAGTTCCGCACGGCGCACTCCCAGCACAGAGACGGGGGCCTCACTAAGAGCCTTGGGTCCCGTACTAACGATCAGGACCCATAATTTCTGATTCTGGGTCACCTGATCGTTGTGGTCACTATCACATTGATCAGTCATTCTGAAGTCCGCCCCCACATTTTCTCTTTCTCAGAATGGAGGAGAGATACATTGTATCCTTTCAGGGAGAAAAAAAACAACAGTGAGTATAAATAAATAAATATCTAGATCAGCCCTGGTGCACACTGATGCAGTGCGGAATTTGTAGCATTTTCAGTGCAATTCCGCACCTCATCAAAATCGCACCCCATTCATGCTAAACAGTGCAGGTGTGTATGTTAAGTTAATAACACCCCGAAAACAGTCCACAAAATGCGGTGCGATGTGAAGAATCGGATCGCATAGGTGTGAATACCCATGCGATCCGATTCTAGTGCGGACCCAAAAAAGGGTCTTGCACTTTTTTGGTGCGGGGGTGGTACGATTAGAGCCACACATAATGTATGGCTCCGATGGCACCACAAGCAAATTGCATGTGAGTTTCACAGGAATGCGGCGCAGTTCCTGTGCGAATCACACGCAATTTACCGCACCGCAAAAGTGTGAACCCAGGCTTAAAGTTTGATCTAGGTCAGTGCCAGGGTTAGTGTTTGGGTCAAGTAAGGGTAGAAGATCAGGGTCAAAGGTCAGGTTTTTTTTTTTTTTTCTAATTAGTGTCAGCGTTTCTGGGCTGTACTACGGGTGCAAATGACAAATAGCATACACATATGTGGTATCGCTGTGATTGTCAGGAGCTGGAGAATTTATTTTGGTTTGTTTTTTGGTGGCAGGTTATGGTAATAACAAGCTAAAAATAACAGTAAATGACAGCTAAATTTAAAAAAAACTATTTTTTTTACTGTTTTGGGCCAGTTGAAAATAAAAAGATAAGGATATCTATTACCACTTACCACCAAATAAAAAACCCAATTTGTCCTGAAAAAAACAAGGCGTAATCCACCTGGATGTACAAACATGTCAAAGTTGCAAACTTTTGTTTAGGCATTAACCTCCCTGGCGGTATGATTATTTCCGATTTTTTGTGCTGAAAGCTGTACTATTTTTTTGCATGGAAATATGTCGTTTTTTATTGTAGGCTGTAATTTTTAGGAATAACTCACTGAAATCTGTACGAACAAGAGTCTAGTAAACATCCCGGGTAGGATAAAGTTTGAAACACGAAATCATAAATTATAATTTAATAAATAATCATAAAAAATAATAATATAATAATAATAAATTCAATAATATAATCAAACCAAAAACACTGAAATTTGAAATACAGAGGCAAATTCGCACATCGCTGAGCAAAGTCGCAAAATCGTTTTCAGTGTCTGATGACGAATTTCCCCACGAATCATTATCACTCAGTTCTGCAAGTGGTTCTGATTTACTATCGCTGTTCTAAAACCGCTTTTGACGTAAAGGGACGCTTTTTGGACGCCATGGACTTTTCTAAGTTTCCAGGCAGAAAGAACAGACAAAATGCAGGCAGGGCACAGGACAAAGCAGTAGGGACAAAATGTATGTGAAATGCATTGAAACAGCAATGTTTTACTATGTAATAGTAATAATCATTTTTAAAAAAAATGACATTTTTAAAAAATTTCAAATTTGCCGCCGGTTCCGGCGCCCGTACGTCCCGACGTCACAGGGACTGGAACACAGAAGCCGGATGCCAGCATCGGCCGGAGATGGCTGGGGATGCTGCAGGGGACATATCGTGGGAGTGAAGGACAAGGTAAGTGCTGCAGGGACTCCCTGAGCAACGCCACATGGTACGCCCGCGTGTAGCTCGGGGTTACCGCTCTTGGTACTCAAATTTTACCCCGAGCTACACTCGGGAATACCGCTAAGGAGGTTAAGATTTGTTTTACCCTTACGCGTGGAAGGGGTTAAGGAGGCACTCCTACCACATTGTTTGATATTTGAAACTGTATATGTCAAAAAGTGTTCCGTATTGTGATTTTCTGTCATTTTTGAGAACCCATATTCTCAGTATATCTTGTCATTATACTCCAAGGTATCGAGTCTCATTTCAGGGTAACCCTGCGGCACTAACCAAAGGTTATCAGTCTGTGTCTATTGATGTGTATACCCGAGGTGTCAGAGGTACTGAGGTCTTTGTAGAGGTCAAGGTAGGAACAAGGGACCCGATACAACCAGTGGCTCCTGTGGGGGTAGTGCTACATACACTTTTTTTTCCCTTTATTTTCACCTCTTAAAGCGGAGTTCCACCCAAAAGCCTTTGTCCCCCGCTCCCCATTAAGGATTGGCACCGTTAGGGAGCAGGTACCTGAATTTGACAGGTACCTGCTCCCACTTCTGCTGCGATTGCCTAGGTGATCGGAAGCGGAGGTTGTCGTCCCCCCCCCCCCCCCCGTAGTCTTCTGGGACACGTGACAGGTCCCAGAAGATTACGGGGCCATTTACAAAGAGCAGTACGTCTCGCACATGTGCAGTGGGCACCCGAATGTGAAGCCGCAAGCTGTCACAGCCGGGTGCCCACACTGAAGATGCCAGCACCAGGTAGAGAAGACGGCCGGTGAAGCCAGCGGTAGTGAGGACAGCGCTGGACCAAGGGACAGGTAAGTGTCTGTATTTTAAAAGTCAGCAGCTACAGTTTTTGAAGCTGCTGACTTTTATTTGTTTTCAGATGGAACTCCGCTTTAATCCTGCCGTCAATACACTTTCTGTCCTATAGGGTGATAACCGTACTGAGCAGTGTTGTCACCCGAGGACAGGGAGTGTGTCAGAACTACATAACATCTTCTCTCTGCTCATTAACAGTGGGAGGTGTTTTGTAGTCCACAGAGATAGCAGGGAACAATGCTAAATGATAGCAGTCCAGAGGAAGAGAGTACAGGATCCCTGTATGGGTGAACAGCTATTTTATTTTTGCAATTATCATACAGATATAATAAAACACTTCTAACAATAGGATATTTAACAGACAAAAAAAGGAGCAAATATGACAAATTTGTCTTTAGTTTACATACATTTTTACCCCCCACCTCCCCCCAACCAAGTTTTGGATGGCAGTTGCCCAGTTTTTATTATCTAGCAAGTCCTTCTTTTGTTTTTGTGGTGCTGGTGGCAAAATCCTCTTCCCCATCCCTCCTCAATTCCTGATCCTCCCATGGGAACGCAGGACCCTGCTCAACTTCCTCCTTACCCTGAATACTGCACTCTCCATATATTCCTGCGAAGAATCCACTAGGGGGCAGTGACATCAACATGATGTGTTGATCGGGTGTATAAAATCCAGCCCCTAGACATGCAGACTGCTTCTACAAACATTTGTGAAAGAATGGGTCGCTCTCAGGAGCTCCGTGACTCCAAGCGTGGTACCGTGATAGGTTGTCACCTGTGCAATAAGTCCATCCGTGACATTTCCTGGCTACTAAATATTCCACAGTCAACTGTTAGTGGGATTATACCAAAGTGGAAGCAACTGGGAACAACAGCAACTCAGCCACCAAGGGGTAGGCCACGTAAAATGACAGAGCGGGGTCAGTGCATGCTGAAGCACACAGTGCGCAGAAGTCACCAACTGTCTGCAGAGTCAATAGCTAAAGACCTCCAAACTTGGTGTGGCCTTCAGATTAGCACAACAGTGCACAGAGAGCTTCATGGAATGGGTTTCCATGGCCGAGCAGCTGCATCCAAGCCTTACATCACCAAGTGCAATGCAAAGCGTCAGATTCCGTGGTGTAAAGCACGCCGCCACTGGACTCTAGAGCAGTGGAGACGTTCTCTGGAGTGACCAATCACACTTCTCTGTCTGGCAGTCCAATTGACGTGTCCCGGTTTGGCAGTTGCCAGGAGAACCGTACTTGCCTGACTGCATTGTGCTAAGTGTAAAGTTTGGTGGAGGGGGGATTATGGTGTGGGGTTGTTTTTTTCAGGGGCTGGGCTTGGCCCCCTAGTTCCAGTGAAGGGAACTCTTAAGGTGTCAGCATACCAAGACATTTTGGACAATTTCATGCTCCCAACTTTGTGGGAAGAGTTTGGGGATGGCCCCTTCCTGTTCCAACATGACTGCTCACCAGTGCACAAAGCAAGGTCCATAAAGACATGGATGAGCCAGTTTGGGGTGGAGGAACTTGACTGGCCTGCACAGAGTCCTGACCTCAACCCCATAGAACACCTTTGGGATGAATTAGAGCGGAGACTGTGAGCCAGGCCTCCTCCCCCGACATCAGTGCCTGACCTCACAAATGTGCTTCTGGAAGAATGGTCAAACCTTCCCATAGACACCCTCCACTGGGGGGCCATTACAGGTCATGTGCGTGTAAAGGCAGGCCGACCAATACTTTGGGCAATATAGTGTATATATATATATGTTTTCTGGGGATTGGATAACTTCAATAAAACATTCCCTCAACCATTCAGAACTGCGCTTCAAGACTGGTCTTTCCGCAGCAGGGGCGGACTGACAACTCATGGGGTCCCCCGGGCAATAGGGGATCATGGGGCCCCTGTATCCTCGCCCACACTCAAACCACACCCAAAAAAGCCTATGAAAGGTACCAGGGGCATCTCATGGGGCCCCCTACTGACCCCGGGCCCTTGGGCAGTGCCCGAGTTTCCAAATGGTCAGTCCGCCTCTGTTCCGAAGATTACCGAATGCCAGGCAAAACCATTTCCGAACACTTCCGATCCCCCTTCCCGAATGTTTCCGATTTTACGAGCCCTTCCGAAGCCGGCCGAACGTTTCCGAATTCCTTCCGAGGGGTCGTGTCGGACGACCCCGAAGAAAGCCGAGCGCGCTTCCGGACGTTTCCGAATCCCACCCCAGCGACCGCCTGCCCGCTTCCGAAGGCTTTTCCCGAAGGTTTCCGATCCTCCCCGAGCGCCAGCACTACCGGTTCCGGAGTTTGACGAGCGTTTCCGAAGCTGCGCAGTAGCGGCGGAGTGGCTGGGGCGCCCGCAGAGAGCCGAGTGTTTCCGCTGCCGGGCTGAGCCGCGCACAGAGGGATCGGGGAGCCCCGGCTGTACGTGTAGGAGCGGGAGGACAGGGACGGAGGGAGGCCGGGAGGAGGAGGAGGAGCTGCCCCCGCTGTACAGGGAGAGAACCGGAGAGACCCGCGGGGGGAATCCAGCACGATGATCAAACTGTTCTCCTTGAAGCAGCAGAAGAAGGAGGAGGAATCCGCCGGCGGCACCAAAGGCACCAGCAAGAAGGCCTCGGCCGCCCAGCTCCGGATCCAGAAAGGTGAGCAGCCGGGCCTGGTGCAGTACACGGGGCGGACACAGGGGGCGCTGCTGAGGACACATTCCCCCCTCTGTACCCCATATATGGGGAGAGCTCCCCATCCCCCACCCCTCCTCCTACATCACAGGGGCACTGCAAACCCCAGCATGTCTCAACAGAGGGGGGGCTGGGACTTCTAGTTCCTCACAGCTGGCTGCCCACAATGAGATTACACTGGTGTCCCTTCTACAGCTAGGGGGGGCACTTCATGATCTGGTCAGCTGGGGCTTGTAGTTCTACATGGCTACCTGCACTGGTGCTTCTTCTATGGGGCTCACTTCATTGTATGGTTAGCTGGGGCTTGTAGTCCCACACCGCTTCCTGCATTTAGATTGCGCTGGTGGCCCTCCTATTACTGCTGGGACTTGTAGTTCCCGGGGGGCAACCAGGATCTGAAGCCAAGTATTAGCATCTGCCATACTAAAGCATGCCACTGGGTGAGTGGGTGGGGGGGGAATGCGGACGTCATCCTATATAGGTAGGATGAGCGATCCATCACCGCACCACACCTCTTTTTGTAAATCAGTGCCATCCTGGCTGTCCAGCTGAGATACCCTGGTAGGTTGCTGCTGGAATTTGTAGTTCCTCAACAATTGGCAGGTGCCTGAACGCCCAGCGTTTTGAATAATAGGGGGTCGGTGTGGTGGTGAGCGCCTTACAGTATTCACAATGGTCCTCCTGTAGTACAGGGGGTGGCCCCCAGGGGGAGTGCTGGGGTAGCCACACCCTTGTGCAGTACAGTAAATGACCACAATGGGGTGTTGTGTCCACACCCTGATGCAGCAAAGAGGATGGCCACTAGGGACTCTATGGTATCCACACCGTGCTGTGGCCAACAGCTTCAATATCTGGGATGGCCACAAGGGGATGCTGTCAGCCCCATCCTGCTGCAGTCCAGCTGATAATCACTAGGGGGTGCTGTGGTATCGCATCCAGCTGCAATAGAGGATGGCCACTAGGAGCACCATAGTAGCCGAACTTTGCTGTAATACAGAGGGTGGACACTAGGAGTATTGTAGCAGACTTGCCCTGCTGCAGTACACAGGGTGGCCATTAGGAGGTGCTGTGGTAACCACACCTCACTGTAACACAGGGTGAGCACTAGGAGTGCTGTAGTAGATTGCCTTGCTGCAGTCCACATTGTGGCCATGGGGGGTGCTGTGGTAACCTCACAGTAACACAGAGGGTGGGCACTAGGAGTGCCATAGTAGACTTGCCCTGCTGCAGTACACAGGGTGGCAATTAGGGGGTGCTGTGGTAACCACACCTCACTGTAACACAGGGTGAGCACTAGGAGTGCTGTAGTAGATTGCCTTGCTGCAGTACACATTGTGGCCATGGGGGGTGCTGTGGTAACCTCACAGTAACACAGAGGGTGGGCACTAGGAGTGCTATAGTAGACTTGTGCTGCTGCAGTACACAGGTTGGCCATTAGGGGGTGCTGTGGTAACCACACCTCAGTGTAACACAGAGGGTGGGCACTAGGAGTGCTGTAGCAGACTCACTGCTGCAGTACACAGAGTGGCCATTAGGGGGAGAGGGTGCTGTGGTAACCACACCTCACTGTAACACAGAGGGTGAGCACTAGGAGTGCTATAGTAGACTCGCCCTGCTGCAGTACACATGGAGGCCATTGGGGGGGGGGGGGGGGGGGTGCATGTAGCAATCACATCCTGCTGCAATATAGAGGGTGAACACTGGGGGGTGCTTTGGTAATTTCACCCACAGTATAGAGCAGTGTCTAAGCTAGGGCTCCCCCAGAGGTTGGTAGGGGTACCTTGAGCAATTTCTGCCTCTCAGATAAGTTCCCACTGACACCAGTGATCTTTTTAGCTTTCTGTAAGCTAAAAAGAAATTCTTCCCAATGACCACAAGTGTAAGGAGGATTCTTCTCACTGACCATCACTAATGTATCATGAGTTGTAGATAGTCATTTTTAGCAGGAGTTCCCTGAGAACGGAAAGTTAGATGAAGGGTTCTTCTGTGTTGAGAAAGGTAGGTATGGGGGGAGGGGGGAAACATTACAGGGGTGCTGTAGGAACCACATCTCACTGCAGTACAGAGATTAGCCACTAGGGGAATACCATGGTAGCCACACCTTTCTAGAGGTTGACCACTAGGGGCGCTGTGGTAGCCATATCCTGCTGCAGTACAGCAGGTAGCCACACCCTGTTCTATAGAGATGGGGTGCCCTTATCTAGACAGTGGCAAGTTTGTCCTCTTCCTCTACATCAGAAGCTTCATGTTTATTGTGGTAAATCCAGTACGCCTGCTGCTGGGGCTGGGGCTTGTAGTTCCACTAGAGCTGGCTGCTCACAGTAAAATGCTTGCAGCAGCCTCTCTTCTTGCAGCTTTTTGGGAACTATCAGTATCAGCAGGCCCGGGTCTAAGTGGCTCAGGGCTGCAGAGGTAAGAACTGGGCCAGCTGTGATACCGAAGGCTGTTGGTAGGGGGCGCTTTGGCCGCCATATTCTTCTCCGCATGCCTTGCTACTAAGGGTAAGTGGTGGTCATCCAGCTCTTGGAGGACAACAAGTACCAACATGTCCAGTTTGCCATTTCCCCATTGGTTGTACAGCGTGCCCTAAGCCAAGTCATTAGCTGGCTGCCGAAACAACCGACAATGTGATGACCATCGTGAAGGCAGTAGGAAAAAAATGTCCGTCGCACAGCACCGCGTCCAGAAAGGTGAGAGCGGGACCGGCCGCGGGGCAGTGGGCAGCTGTCGGCAGTCACTTCCCATCAGCAGGATTGCTGATCCCTTCTATCCATATACTGTAGTGGGGGTCATGCTCTAATGCAGAGAAAGGTGGTGACATTTTCCAGCTACTATTCCCAGCATTCCTTGGTAGTTCCCACTGCTGGGACTTGTAGTTCTCCAACAGTAACTAATAGGGGGAAGGATTTCCTCCTTCAGGTAGAACATGAAGAGCACCTCAAGTTTGCAGAGCTTGTAGTAGTAGTTCTCACTGCTGGGACTTGTAGTTCATGAGAGCCAGTTGCTCAGATGCAGCCAATGGGCTGTAGACCAGCAGAGTGTCTGTTTTGGGACAAGTATCCAGATCCGCTCAGCTTTGGAGTTCCTTGAAAGCCAGGCAACGGGTGCCAAGTGGGGCAGGGGGGCTGGCAATGACCCAACTTCCTAAACAGGACTGGAACTAGGAATTGTGTCCTACCATCGGCATGTCCATGGCAGACTTCTCCAATATACTGACATGTATGACTACACAGAATGGCGCACTGCAGAGCCCCGCCCCCTTTTGTGTCGGGTACAAGATGCGGCCAGCCGCTGTGCTTCGATCACATCTGTTGGGCCTGTTCCTGGCGCCCGTTGTAGGAATAGGGAATATTATTATTATTATTATACAGGATTATTATAACACCAGCAGTTTGCTCAGCGCTTTACAAAATGTATATATGTCCTGTCCACTCCCAGCGCTGGGACATGTAGTTCCACAAGAGCTGCAGAGACTTGGTCTGGGTAGAACATGCCTTAAGTGGAACTAAAGTTCGCAATCAGGAAGCAGGCAGCTCTACATTGAAGAAATCTGGAATGAGGTAGAATGTCACCAGCACACCGAGGATCACCAATATGGGTCCAAAAGTTTTAATGAACGATCACGTAGTTACAGCAAGGCAACATTTCGGAGTCTCGCAGGACCCCTTTCATCAGACATGTGACCTATGTGACGTCATATGCCTGATGAAGGGGTCCAGCGAGACTCCGAAACATTGCCTTGCTGCAACTATATGTGATCGTTCATTGAAACTTTTGGACCCATATTGGTGATCCTCGGTGTGCTGGTGACAGTCTCCCTTGCTGATTCTGTTCGGTTCCAGCCGACGGTCGCTGCAGCACCCACTTATACACACCGCCATTGGGCGTTTGGATTGTACACTGGCATTTGAGACCTGGAATAAGGCGCACCTACCTGCCTGCTCCCCGTCTTCTCCGGCATGTGAACTGAGCTGTGCAACTTTCCCATCCGCTTACATCACCGGCCCAGTCTCTGCGTTCCGGGGTGACTGACTCCTGCGCATGCATACAAGTGATGTCATCCTGTGCCAGCCAATGAAGGTGGCCGAAGAACGGCACACAGCAGAAGATGCCGGCAAGGGCCATGTGGATGGGACCTGAACGCAGTGAAGGCTCAGCTTACGCTGTACCATGTGGAATCAATCCGTACATTTATATGGGATGTGAAATATCTTACAGACACTTGTATGTCATGACCGGTGTGAATGAGGTGTCAGTCTGTGCCCCCACCCCCGTGTCGCTGAGCTCGGCCCGTTCACAATCAAACTCTTCATTGGGAGATCTAAAGTGACCCCACCACCAGCATTCCTGAACAGTCAGCACACACCTCTTCTGTCCACCATGGGTGGGGAGTCAGACTGCAACACCATCAATGGGGGCCATACATGAAATGATTTTATATACAATCATATGAAACATGCTTAGGACAAACATAGATCTGTACTCAGACAACAAAAAAAAAAATACAACAGACTATATATATATATATATAACAAAGGGCAGACTTGAGAGACCACTTGGTGCTTTTTCTGCCTACACTTCTGTGTTTCTATGGACTGTCTGGGAGATATGGTCAAAAAGATCATTCAATTTATTTACTTCAGCTACTTATATAGCGCCGTCAATTTACGGAACGCTTTACATATATATTGTACATTCACATCAGTCCCTAACCCTCAAGGGGCGTACAATCTAAGGTCCCTAACTTACATTCACATACTAGGGCCAATTTAGACAGGATCCAATTAACCTACCAACATGTCTTTGGAATGTGGGAGGAAACCGGAGTACCTGGAGGGAATCCGCACAGGGAGAACATGCAAACTCCAGGCAGGTGATGCCATGGTTGGGATTCGAACCAACAACCCTAGTGCTGCCAGGTGGAAGTTCTAATCATTTAGCCACTGTGCTGCCCATAATATGCCATACGCTTAGGGTTCCTTCACGCGTTCCGTTTTTTTTTTTTTCATCAGTTCAGTCACATTTATTGAAAGAAAAAACTGATCAGTTTTCGTCCGTTTTTTTTTGTCCGTTCCGTTTTTATTTAACGGAAACAAAGTAGGGTTCAAAAGAACGGATGTTAACAGATACGGACATTTACGGATGTAAACGGTTGATCATGCATTTACATCCGCTAGTCCATAGAAGTACATGGGTGTCTGTTTTTCATCTGTAAAGGGACAGATGAAAAATGTAAATACGGAACGCCCGTGTGAAAGAGGCCTTAGTGTTACTAAAGTCTCATTTTATTTTTTAATTAAAATAACAAACATGTTCTACTTACCTGCTCTGTGCAATACCACTGTATCACATGATGCTGTACGGCAGCGCTGCACATTGCATTGTAGCAGGGGCAGACTGACAACTCATGGGGCCCCCGGGCAATAGGGGATCATGGGGCCCCTGTGTCCTTGCCCAAACTCAAAAAAGCCTATAATAAAGGTACCAGGGGCATCTCGTGGGGCCCCCTACTGACCCCGGGCCCTGGGGCAGTGCCCGAGTTTCCAAATGGTCAGTCCGCCACTGCATCATAGCCATAACATACAGCGCCATAAATGAAGTGCACCTTTTGAACACTTTCATTTAAAGTGAATCTCGCACACACTGCCCCCTACTGTAGCCGCTGCGGGGAATGGACCGCTGCCAGAGCGGTAAAGCACCTCAGTCGCTGTCAGTTTTATAGCGTGAATTCAGCTTTAAAGTAAAACTAAAAGCAGAACTTTTTCTTTTTTTTGTTTTAGATTGGAGAGGGATTAGAACACCTGTCATGTTTTTATGCCCCCCAAATAGGGAGATTCACCCTATTTGTCCTGTTTACCATTACCACCAAAAGTGAAATAAGATCCAACATTTTGGGCTGTCACCACAACAGGAATAGAGAGGAAATCTTTCAATCTCTCACACTTTGAGTGACAATTACTCTTGCAACACTGTACCCGTTTTTTTTTTTTTTTTTTTTTAACAGCTTTCTTTTGGTGGTATTTGATCTCCACTGGGTTTTTTTTTTTTTGTAATATAAATGAAAAACATATTTTGCTTCGTTTTTGTTATAAAAGTTTGCAAATTGTCTTCATAAATTTAGGCCAAAATGTATTCTGCTACATTTGTGGGGGTAACAATTACCCAAAACTGTATATTTTTTAGTCTGTGTGAAAGCTAAAGAGTCTATAAACTATGGGATATATATTTGAAAATTAGTTGAGACTTTAAAATGCCAGATGCTGGTATGGGCTATGGCGGTGATCAAGGAGTTAGCATGAGGTATGGCAATGATCAGGATGCTGGTAAGGCACATGGGGTGATCAGGATGCTGGTATGGCACATGGGGTGATCAGGACGCTGGTATGGCACATGGGGTGATCAGGACGCTGGTAAGGCACATGGGGTGATCAGGACGCTGGTATGGCACATGGGGTGATCAGGACGCTGGTATGGCATATGGGGTGATCAGGACGCTGGTAAGGCACATGGGGTGATCAGGACGCTGGTATGGCACATGGGGTGATCAGGACGCTGGTAAGGCACATGGGGTGATCAGGACGCTGGTAAGGCACATGGGGTGATCAGGACGCTGGTATGGCACATGGGGTGATCAGGACGCTGGTATGGCACATGGGGTGATCAAGATGCAGATATGGGGTAGCATTGAGACCGGTGCTGTTTGTATTAGTTATTAGGAGCTACATTGGGGCAGTGATCAGGGACACTGGGGCTGTTAGCACAGCAGTCTGTGAGCAACCACTCACAGGCTGCAACATTGGTTCTCTCTGCTCTCACAATGAAAGCAGAGAACTGATGCCAAGTTTCACTTTCTGTTATTTACTATGTGATTGGACACAGCAATCACATGGTAAAACACTATGTGATTGCTATATGATGCTACTATAATGAGGCAAATGCTAACGCCGCCATGTGTTCAGCTCCATCCGCTCACTGTTCCAGCAGCTGTGAGTGGTGTTTATAGATGGCCGGGAAGCAGTAAAAGCGTCACCCAGCTGCCTGTGTAGTCAAGGCCTAAGGCTAAGTTCACACAGGCATGGAATTATAAAGTCTCCTCTAACACCCCTGCAGCATTTTTGCTAGTTTTGGATGCATATCACAGGTGTCTAAGGTGCATCAAGCAGCACTCCTCAAATGCCCTGTGGGATTTCTTTTTTTTAATCATAAATTGATTTCTTGCAACCGCTGTTAAATGCGCTGTAAAAGCCATTGGCACATTTGCTGCACATTTCAACAGAAGTGAATGGAGGCGGTCGCAAAGTGTCAACGCCTGCTGAGCTCTGCAGGCAGCCTTATTTTTGCCTTACTGCAAGGTGACGCTAACACACGTGTACACCTCCATGTGCTCACAGTTGTGATCGGCATTGATAGGCAGTTGGGGAGTGGTAAAAATGTGACCCGGCAGCCTACTTTCAGTGCCTAAAAGGTGCCAGCAGTAATAGTGCCTGGAGGAAAGGTCGTGTTGATCGCCCCTAGACTGCACTGTCATCAAGTATCAGAATCTGTAGGACTGGATATCAATCCCATGTTTGGGAAGCCCATATAACACCTCCAGTGTTACAAACTAGGCTAGAGCGAAGAATAAAATGATCCCTTCAAAAGAAGACTTGCCTCTCTAGTGGGTGCTCACCTCCCTTTCCTGCAGAGCAGTGGCCTCTGATGTAATTTCCAGCTTCTAACCCTTCCAGACGTGTTGCATGCCCGCATTCTCCACCACAAACTGGTTCCTCCTGATACCTTTCCAGCAATATAGGAAACAGTAGTTCTGGAGGGGAGGCCAGGCACCCAGCATTTCTGGTAGGTGTCAGCTTCTGATGGTTTTAGTACGGTGGGAAAGCAAAGTAAGGACTCGCAGCCTGCTTGAGAGGTAAGTATTAAAGGAGACGTACACTTTAAAACAAAGTGCATTTATCCTTTTTGCTTCCTGGCCTAGCCTAACCTACAGATACCTAATTACCTCAATACAACAACTGTGGTTCTGCTGTTTGATCATATCCAATGCCAAAAGACATCACCGTCCTGGCTGCACCTGCCCATTACAGCCCCATAGACTTGTATGTAACTGGGTCCTGAGGTTGAAGGCAGTCCCATCATGATGGGATTGGCTGCTTATAGCAGGGGAGGGGAGGGTCAGTGCTTGGAGCCAGTCAGGCTTTGCTGCAGTGTACATATGCTTACAAGAGGAGTGAGCAGAAGGATGACTCCTTAGTATGCTGCTGCTCCTTCACTGGCTGGTTGTTTTAGATCAAGCCGCTACGGAGGTCCATCCTGAGCAGAGGTCGCCAGATCACAAAACAGGCTGAACAGAATCACAAATGTATGGTAAAGTTGTACAATTCCCCTGTTCTTTTAGTCTGATTTCAGTACTCTTCAGAATGATATAAAGCCAGAATAAATAGGTTTGCTCATCTCTCTACCTGAGAAAGGAAAAAAAAAAAAAAAGCAGTGGGTCAGTCTGAGTGTCTGAAAGTAGACCTGTCCTTGATGGCCATTGTACCATTGCAGCCAATCAGATTCTTCATTTCCCTCTGATGCAGCAGGAGGGAGGATCAACGGTGTCATCTGGTTGTCATGGACAGCAAGAATGGACCTGTCTTCAGACACTGATGAACAGATCTGCTGCTAGAATCTAAGAAACTGAAGGGATTTTGCTGCACTGACGTGACTGGCGATTTTTTTTTTTTTTTTTTTGCAGATATCAATGAGCTGAACTTGCCGAAGACGTGCGAAATAGAGTTCTCCGACCATGACGACCTTCTTAATTTCAAGCTAGTCATCTGTCCTGATGAGGTAGGTGTCTGAGAATCAGGATGTCACACAGGATGGCATTAAAGTAGAACTCCGCATGAAATGTGACTAAAATGGTGCAGGTGATTCAACTGTGGTACAGTCAGGAAAACAACAACCTTGTCTGTGAAAATGATTTCTCCTATTGGTGACACCCATGTCATTGCCGCGAGCTGAATTTGACTTTTTTTGCATTGATCGTGAAGCTGGCCGTAGATGGATCGAATTTCGGCCGGTTCAGCAGGGACCTGCTGTCTTTCAATCCATCTATGGCTATTCATGCTAGAGAGAAATCTATGAAACGATCAGCTTCTCTTGAACAGGAATGTTTGAAATGTTTTGTTCAATCAGCATATGCCGGTGGGATGAAGCGTTGGTCATTGTATTCTGACAGCGGAGTAGTCCCACTTTCCGAATATAATAGCACAGCGGGGAGGATTCCTTCATCCATCTCAGGTGTGTGGATGGGGGAACCTGTTCAATTTCTGTGATCCGTCGGTTGGCAAGCTTAGGGACCTTCACCAGACTTTAGTGGATTTTCTACAGGAATATGTGGAGGATACTGAAAACAGGCAGTGCAGCTTGCAGCAACCCTTTGTGTACCGCCAAGATAGGAAATAGGCAGGAATTTTCCTCAGAGGGACACGCCTGACAGTTACATAGTTAGTCTGGCTGAAATAAAGACAAAAGTCCATCCAGCTCGACCATTAAAAAAAAAAAAAGTTTTAATCCTACACCCACAGTTGATCCAGAGGAAGGCAAAAAACCCAACAAAGCATGATCCAGTTTGCTCCTGCAGTGCAAAAAAATTCCTTCCTGATCCCCCGAGAGGCAATCGGATATTCCTATAAATGTTAGTATCCAGTTATATTCTGCATAGCTAAGAAAGAATCCAGGACTTTTTTATAGTAATTCACTGAACTGGCCAGAACCGACTCTTGAGGGAGTCTATTCCACATTTTCACAGCTTTTACTGTGAAGAAACCTTTCTGTGTTTGTAGATTAAATCTCTTCCTCCAGAGTGCCCCTTTGTCCTTTGTGAGGACCTCAGGGTAAATAGCTCTACACCAAGTTCACTATATGAACCACTGATGTATTTATACATGGAGATCATATCCCCCTTATGTATTATACATGGAGATCATATCCCCCTTATGTATTATACATGGAGATCATATCCCCCCTTATGTATTATACATGGAGATCATATCCCCCCTTATGTATTATACATGGAGATCATATCCCCCTTATGTATTATACATGGAGATCATATCCCCCCTTATGTATTATACATGGAGATCATATCCACCCTTATGTATTATACATGAAGATCATATCCCCCCTTATGTATTATACATGTTGATCATATCCCCCTTATGTATTATACATGGAGATCATATCCCCCCTTATGTATTATACATGGAGATCATATCCCCCCTATGTATTATACATGGAGATCATATCCCCCTTATGTACATGTTGATCATATCCCCCCTTATGTATTATACATGTTGATCATATCCCCCCTTATGTATTATACATGGAGATCATATCCCCCTTATGTATTATACATGGAGATCATATCCCCCCTTATGTATTATACATGGAGATCATATCCCCCCTTATGTATTATACATGGAGATCATATCCCCCCCTTATGTATTATACATGGAGATCATATCCCCCCCTTATGTATTATACATGGAGATCATATCCCCCCTTATGTATTATACATGGAGATCATATCCCCCCTTATGTATTATACATGGAGATCATATCCCCCCTTATGTATTATACATGTTGATCATATCCCCCCTTATGTATTATACATGGAGATCATATCCCCCCTTATGTATTATACATGGAGATCATATCCCCCCCTTATGTATTATACATGGAGATCATATCCCCCCCTTATGTATTATACATGGAGATCATATCCCCCCCTTATGTATTATACATGGAGATCATATCCCCCCCTTATGTATTATACATGGAGATCATATCCCCCCCCTTATGTATTATACATGGAGATCATATCCCCCCTTATGTATTATACATGGTGATCATATCCCCCCTTATGTATTATACATGGTGATCATATCCCCCCTTATGTATTATACATGGAGATCATATCCCCCTTATGTATTATACATGGAGATCATATCCCCCCTTAATCTCCTCTTCTCAAGAGAGAATACATTCAGTTCCTCTAATCTTTCCTCATAGCTGATCTCCTCCATGCCTCTTATCAGTTTGGTTGCCCTTCTCTGTACTTTCTCCAGTTCCCCAATGTTCTTTTTGTGAATTGGAGCCCAAAACTGAACTGCATATTCCAGATGAGGTCTTACTAATGATTTGTACCGGGGGAATATGATATCTATCTCTCTGGAGTGTATACCTCTTTTAATACAAGAGAGGATTTCGGTCACGTTAGAACCCGCAGCTTGGCATTGCATGCCATTATTAAGCTTGTGATCTACCAGAACTCCCAGATCCTTCTCCACCATTGATTCCCCCAGTTGTACCCCCCCAGTATGTATGATGCATGCATATTCTTAGCCCCCAAGTGCAGAACCTTACATTTATCAACATTAAACCTCATTTGCCACATAGTTGCCCAATTAAACAGAGCATTGAGGTCGGCTTGTAAGTTGAAGACATAGGATCTAACCTCTCAATTTCTATTAAAAATAAAAGTTTTGGCTGGAGTTTGCTTTCATTCTAAATTGCCATGATAATATATATTTTACAGTCATGCCTTGTACAGATTTCATTTTTCATATAAAAAATCTTATTCAGAAATCATTTTGCTTGAACTTTTTTTAAATGTGTGACATATGATCAGTGAGGATTGGTCTAGCCTGCTCTCATGCTCCCAAAGAGTAAACTTTATTGAACGAGTAAAATGTGCATATAAAATGGCAATAAGCCCTAGTCCTAGCCATAACGATATATGGTCATCCTGTTACAATTTGTGGGACTTTTTCCTTAACATGTTTCAAGCTCTGGGGGCTGGAGGGAGGATGCATTTCAGGCAACATAGAGGAGGGCCTTGACAGGCATGCTCATTGATAGTTCAATCGAAAGCAGACTAGAGGCCGCCCTTCACAGAAAGGTTGGCCTCCAGTCTGGGTAACATAGGTAACTGATTTGTATAGGATTGTCACCATTTTGGCTTGAAAGAGATTCTGTCACTGTAAAGCCCACCCGTGGACCAGGTGGACTCCCCTTCAAAAGTGACTCCTCACTGCTCTTCTCTTCATCTTGGCTGCCACAAAATTATTATTATTATACAGTGTTTAGCGCCAAAAAGTTTGCTCAGCGCTGTACAATATAGTGGGGGACAGTACATGAGACAATACAGTAACAATACAATACACGAGGGGTTCGAGGGCCCTGCTCTTTCGAGCTTACAATCTAGGAGGGAGGGGATAGTGGTACAGGAGGACGTGGCTGTGGGGGATGGAGTGGTAGGAGGAGTGGAGGAGCTTGGATGTTAGGTGAGGGTGGGGTAGGCTTCCCTGAAGAGATGGGTTTTCAGGGTGCTCCTAAAGGTGAGGAGGGTAGGTGACAGTCTGATGGATTGGGGTAGTGAGTTCCAGAGGATGGGGGAAGTCCTGGAGAAGTCCTGCAGTCGGGCGTGGGAGGAGGAGACCAGGGAGCTAGAAAGTAGGAGGTCTTGCGAGGAGCGAAGAGTACGGGTTGGGTGGTATTTGGGCAGTGTGTTATGAATGGCTTTGTACGCCAATGTTAGTAGTTTGAATTTAATGCGTTGGGCAATCAGAAGGCAATGGAGGGAATGACGGGGGGGGGGTGTGGCAGATACGGAGCGGTTGGTGAGGTGGATGAGTTCTAATATACAAAATATTAATATATACTTAATATTCAAAATACAAAGTGGCGGGTGTTGCTGGAGCTTACAGGGGGCCATGATGTTGGCCTCTGTCATGTGACACTGTTCGGGCCTAGTGATTTGGCTGCTAGACCTGAGCACTCTAAAGTACAGGAGTAGATGTCGTGTCCTCTCTTACATAGAAACTGGGTGCTGCGAAGTAGGTTGGCAGAATGGACTTGTCATTTTAATATAAAAGCATGGTTCAACAGGGGACCTGTTGGCTGAGCACTGGACTTAGAATAGAAGAAATTGGATCTGAAATTCATCTATTGGAGGCTTGGAGAGACCCCTGAGAGCCCCTAAAGTCTGGAGAATATGTAAAAGATGAGAGCACCTGATTGGGGACCTGAAGCAGCACATTTTACTCTTCTCATTTTATATTCATTGTCCAATATTGCCTCCAGTCACAACACAAACCCTGATGAAGGGAGTATTTGAGTTCCTGAAATGTGTTGGTTTTTCTTCTGATCTCTGTTTATGAAAAATAAAGTTCTGCTGGACTTTACATTTGTGGCGCTCCCATCATTTGTGTATTCTCCAGACTGAGTTACAGTCGGCGGGGGAGAAGGATTTTTACTTTTTTCCAGAATTGGGCTTTAAAGCAGACTGTATGGGGTTTATTTACAAAATCAGACTCCCTTCTGCATAGAAACCAATCAGCTTCCAGGTTTCATTGCCAAAGCTTCATTGAACAAGCTGAGGTTAGAAGCTGATTGGTTTCTATGCAGAAGGGAGTCTGATTTTGGACTCTCCAGCTTTAGTAAATAAACCCCTATGTGTCTCGAGCTTGGTACACAATGAGCAGGATCCAAGTCTTATCAGAGTTGCTGGTTTTTATATTCATGCTTTAATTTGAATCCTTGGGCAGCAGCACAGCCTGTTATTGTAGCGATCGTGCGCTAATCCTTTAAATGTCAAGAAAAGTAAAAACCTTCCCTTGCACTGAGGGGCAGCCCATGCACTGCAAGGGATACGTGCTCATTTTTGTCTATGGACCAGGAAAAGCACTTTTAGTGCTCTTTTACATGTGCTGCCAGTTGGCCGTAAAAATAGGCGGTTGAGCCGTGTTTCTGTTTCCCTGTTGCTCTCGCAAGGCAGTACTACT